AATAAATACATTTGGAACAATGACATTAGCAATAAAAAGGTGACAATTTTAAACGAATGGTCTGTCTAAGATGGAGTTCTACTTACATCGATAAAAATGTAATTTGTATTATTCCGCAGAAAAAAAGAGAACATATTATAAGCAGAGTTGCAGGAAGCCACACATATACAACTGACCCAAATAATCAAGGAAATTAAATAACAACTAAGATCGATAACAGTCGGGGTATCAGTCGGGACCAGGCAACAGCTGATGAGTTGTAAATCATTATTATGAATAAAAATAACTACGACCCTGAGAAATTTCCCAATATCATCAGAGCATTTTTGCGGGTAAAACTAAAAGTGTGTCGTAATCCTGGAAACCCCACCAAATAATACCCCTCACACATACCCCAAATAGGGTGACCCCACAAACCCACGCACGACTGACTCCAAAACCACGGACATTGCCTAACTACTGTCGGGAGACCCCGCTCTGTGACAAGTGTGATGTCGACCTCGTTTTAGACGGATTCTACCAGACACTAAAGTTCCTAAATAGGTTACCTGCTCCTTAACCTTACTGCCCACGAACGGATTACTGTGAGGTATCTGAAAATGCATGCCTATAAAAGTTGGGGTTATCGGAGAATTTTACAAAAGACAGGATGGAAAAGTGAGCTGTGAACCATGGGAACACAGAGTATACCCATCGGATCTCACCCCGAAAAGAACAAAAAGATTGTTTACTCTTGTTTAACTGAATAACTGACAAATGGACGGTTCGGTCAAAGGGCAAACGCGATGAATAACTCAGAAGGTAAAGCAAACATTTTTCTATATTGGATCTGTGGCAGGAGCTGTCTGTCCAATCGTCGTTAACCCCAGGACATCTGTCTGGCCAACTCTACCGATATCAAAATTACAACAATACACCAAGTGCAAGGACGGGTCGGACTGAAATTAGCACCATACGTAACCTATATCCGCATCAAGTTCAACGGTGATTCGTTATCAAGAACATCTCTCGAACTTCGGCAGCGAGTCAGAATCAATCTGTCCACTTCGTGGTAACACAAGAGCAAATATGTATGCTAGACTGCACTCAATAATGTTCCCCTCAACTTCAGGCCATCACGTCATTTCTCGTTATGTGCAACAAGACACATGACAAATTTAAAAACACAACACAACCCGTCTGAGTCTGGCCATGAGTTAGTTTGATGAAGGAGTAATGGAATGAGATAAAATTATAGGTTGGGTGGAAGAGTGGTCAATGCACTTCTAGTGCAATGACAGTCACGTGTAGGAAGCCACTTGTGTTCAATTAAATCAATTTCTATCTGAGTAGATAAGAACAAAAGATGAATTTCGGCCACCCCGTGACATCGAATTAGAGACACCCATTACCACTAACACTACTAACGCGATAAGAATTGGCAAAAACCAGCAGAGATTGGCCATGTATAATTATCGTTCTGACAGCAGGTGCGAAGAGGATGGAGGGGGGACTGAACCGTAGTTCACCGCCACACTCTTACTGGACCGGCTCTTTGTGCACCAGAGATGAAAAGAAAATACTAACTAGGTAATTGTCAATTAGTAGACGGAGCTGCCATCGGCTGATACCACGGTAATCAATATATTTTAGTGGAGGTGAAAGTGTTAAATTTGCAAATTGGTAAATTATTTCTCGTGAATCGGTTAGAGTACCTAGCGTTAATTGTCATAATTTAACCATTTAAAATTGAGTCCCAATTCATAAATTATACCATTATAGTCGATTGCATACGATTCCCGAAACGTTTAAATTTAAATCCTGATTCAAGTATGCCACCCACTTACCATCAGAGGACTGAAATCTCTGCTTGTCTGCTTGTATTCATTCTTTTAAAAGGGATATCTGATTTGTTGAACGTGGAAGTAACAAATCGCAGTCAGTATGGAGATAAACAGGCATTTTAAATCCCAAGCGTTTTAGAATAAAACTGTTTGAGAACTGCTAAACCCGAAACTATGACTCCAGTCTCCAATTACTCAGTAGACGGTGGTTATAAGAACTTTGATGAAATCAAAACATTTCCTGCAGTTAATCCTTGGATAGCTACTATTCCGTTAATTGGCAACAAAATTTGAGTTTATGAAGGAGTAAGAGAAGGTCTTAATCGAGAATCGTAGTCCGACCACTTCTCAACTAAGTGTTAATAAAACTATGGGGTATTATTTCTGCCCTTTTGTCTTTGGTGCAACGATTGTTTTTGTCGTATTTTTCTTAATCTTCATGAAAGCTTTGAACGTGAACTTCAAAGACCTATTTAGAAGAAAAGTAAAGCCAACCAATGTAACGGAAGGAGACCAGTATCTAAATATTGAAGTATTGAGACCTTCAGTGGTAAGGACTAAGATAAGGATGGTGATGAATGGCAGTGATCATTTAGCTTCGATGTATCGTTCATTTGAATCAATTACAATGATAAAATAACGTATTTCAGAATTTCCATTCGATTTGATAATTAACCCTCGTGGTAAAATTTGACCGTTCCCAATAAAACTTCTGAAGACAATATATATATATTATATAGCTGGATGGTGGTCTCAATCAGTCTTTCTGGCTATTTCATATTTGATCAGACATTTGAGTCGTTTTTACATTCTCAGCTCTGACGAGTAGGGGCAAGTTAACAAAGTGCAAAACTGTACTATTCAGCTAAATAATAGGCTGACGCAACTCCACTCTCAGCGTCCACACCATGCCCTTAATGAAAATATTTACGAGAGAAAGCAACGAAATCAACGTCTAAAACTGCAATTTTCAGGGTTCCCTTACTATCGAACAACCAATGAACAGAGGATGGGCATACAGTACTAAACGGATAATTGGTCGAGATGATGACTTTGAAGCAGCAAAAGCTGATCAAGACGAGATCTATTTGACAGACATCGTCCCGAAAGATACGGAGCTAGAGGAAGGTATACGGAGAGAAACCACTCCTATTGCTAGTCGTGCTAAAAGTTGTAGCCGGTTCTGCGGTCCCGTTGGCGATTAAATAATATTTTTTTAATTTGATAAACTGACAGTAAAACCTTTTTGCATATGACTTCAAGTTCGAGTATTGCACACTTAACCATGGAGAGTAATTTAATTTGATTTATTATTTTGAATTTTTAATTTGAGCAAAACCCATAATCATGGGTAGAGTGGACCGCAACAGTGTCTCTCTCTCCCAAACAAAAGGAAATGATATTAATTTGAATAACCGACCGCAAATGCAAATTGATACCGAGAATGAAATCGGTCGCTCGCTTTTCCCATTGGAAGCGCTTTATTACAATTGTAAATGAATGGGAAAAGCGAGCGACCGATTTCATTCTCGGTATCAATTTGCATTTGCGGACGGTTATTCAAATTAATATCATTTCCTTTTGTTTGGGAGAGAGAGACACTGTTGCGGTCCACTCTACCCATGATTATGGGTTTTGGTCAAATATCATCTCTTTTTAATTACAATGTCAGGATAATTTACAAAGTCAAAATGTAAACTCATAACTTCATTATTAAGGAGGTAATTTCAACGATTTCGAAACTTAACCTTTGAAAACATTTCCTTGCGTTTAGGTAGGCATATCTGTCGATAACTGACTGAATCTGGCACTTTTTACTCATTCAAGTTGGCATTAAATTCATTTATAATGCCATCTAAATGTCGTGGGAAAGCAGAATTTATTCGAAATCACGAATGAGCAAAATTCTCGCCTTTCGCACGTGCAAACTTTGAGCGGACGTTGCGTGCGCATACAATATTAAATCACCGTACATTTTTGCATGTTGGTGTTTTATATATTGTTTAATAAGCATGCAAAGTTCAAAATGAACTTGGATCACAACGGGACTCCAAAGTTGATAAAAATCGTGAAAATAGCAATTTTCAGTGATTTTAGCAATTTTCTATCAATTTGGGCGTGTCCTCACGTGTGCAACTTTTCGATTTTCAACTTTAAAACTAGCCTATTACAAAATTTAGACCTTTAGGAAGCAAACTTGAGCTCCACAACCCAAGGGATGGCCCAACACCAGAGAATACTAATTCACAACTTCAACTAACTTCAATAGCTTTATGAAGGAACAAGGTAGGAAATCTTTCCGATAGATTTTCAGAATGCTTGAACAATTCTCTAACTTGAAAATTTCCTCAGATTTTGAATAAAATTACTTCTTAATGGTGTAAAATCGATTTGAAAAGTTGTTATTTTGTCAAAAATCAAGTTTTTTTGATATAACGTAAACAGAAGTGTAAATGATTATCTTCTAGACCTGTGGTTCGAGATGACTGTATCTTTTATACTTCTGAATTTACGGACACTTGAATGTATGCTACAATTGACTGTCATAGCGTCTTTATATACATATATATATATATATAGATAGATAGATAATAGATATACTTCACGACAATCTGTTGTATAGTACAGGGGTCAGGGGTTCCAGAAAACCCACTTCCCGATACTGCTGAAACTTGAAACTTTTTTTACAGTCGATTTGGTCAACGTCTAGACTCCCTGTAAAGTTTCAGATCTCTAACTCAATTTAACATGGTTTTTAATGCACCTGAATATGGCGATGTTGGGTTTTTTACCGAATTTCGTATAGCAGTGCTGGTATGGGCGCTGGCGCGTATTTTGCGCGAATTTCTTAAAAAACCTCCTCATTACTATTTCTTATTCCTGGCATCTTTGACATTGAATTAGAATGTTTGAACTTGAAATATGCCTGCTGCACTACTTTTGCGGTGAGTCTTAATACCTGAAAACAGTAAAGGGGGTATAATAGTATAGGGGGTAAATAGTATGGTGAGTGTAATGTTGACGGTCATGCTTGCCAGCACTGTGACTAACCAATAACCATGGCATGATCTGTGATCATGATGTCGATTGTCGAGACTATATTGAACCCTTTATTAACTATATATAGTTATACATAGGATTTATTATTATTTGTAAGAGAAGGAAAAAATACTTTTTAAAACTGCCTTACTGACAAGTAGAATTAAAAGAAAATGTTTAATAGCTTTATAGTTAAATTCTTAAAAACATTTGCCGTGAGTTATTCGTTCCAGTACGAATATCGTACTATTTTGTACCATCTATTACATTTGCAGTATTAAAACGATTCGCTGTCCTTTGACCAAACTACCACCAAAAATCTCAAAATGACTATAATACACGTGAATCACGACAATAAAAATGAAGGCTGCTCAACAAGTAAAAACAACAGGGGTTCAAAACTCATAAATAAATAAAGTGATTAATCAAATAGAATATAAACCTATAAAAGATACGTATCTAAAATTGAAGCCGCAATTTACCAGAATTTATTCCGGCTGAGGCAAGCTCTCGACCACGGACAGCATAAACATTTGCTTTCTGATCTTCTGGTTATCAGTTGTTAGCTGCATTTCAGGGATTCCAGCAATGTCCAAATATTTCTGTTGGTCTTCAACCTATCAATGTGGTGTTAAAATTCGTAGATCGAGTTGGAAAAGACATAATAAGATGCGTATTATTTTAAAATCTGACTCGCGGTATCACTTCGTACCATAGTACTCGGAGAATTCAAACTGTTTTGATACTGTATAGAGCTTATATAAGTCAATAGAGCTTATATCTAGTAAAAGCTTTCAATTATATCAAGGATCCAAAAGTTGAAGGCAGTGAGAGATGGGATTAAATGATGATTCACATGAACTGATATTTGATGGCCGGATTGAAAATTACCTGTTTGTCAAGCTGATCAAGAACACCAAGATCAAACTTTCTGAGTGCCTCCTTTTCTTGTGCCTCTAATTCAACAGAATCTGCTTTAAACTCCTTCAGCATTGTCTGAAGAGAATCACTTTTTCAGCAACTATACAAATAATTGAAACTAACCACAGTTTTCTCGTTTTAATTTTTTGAACTTGATAAATCCTTAAGAATCTACGCAATTTACCTCCTCATTTGATGGATGAAAATTCTCGTCTGCCATCATTTGCTCGTAAGCTTCCCCCTGTGCAGATTCTTGCTGCTCTTTTTTGTCCTGAGGATACAGACATTATCAAAACTGAAGGGACAGCAGACTGCTAAGTGAGGCTTAGTGAATTTTATAATAAAGCGGGAAACATTTGAAAACATAATTGAACCTTCGCAATTTATCATAAACTATATTGACAGAAATGAAGAAACCTGGAAAGATTTAACAATGGAGTTCCTCTCTTTAGACAAGCTTGCGAGCTTGATTTGCTGAATTTCTTTTAATTCGCTGATGATACCAAAAACAGTTCCATCGCTCAACGACTCGGCTAACTTTTCTACCTCGTTGTAACTCAAACTACAATCCCTGGAGATAATTTAAACTTGATTTGACTTTGAGACTTCAAGTTATGATAGATTTGGTAGTCTGGAACAGAGCTACCCACCATTAGTCAAATAGCGAGCAATTAGTCAACAATGTTACGTAAAGATCCCTTAGTGTTATTTTAGTCTACAGGTTCGCTGGATTTGTCCCTATTACTGATTTTAGGGCATATTAATCTAATACGGGTATTGGCAGCGCTTTTGAAATAAATAACTGTCAAATTTTTAACCGATCCGGTCTCACAGTCCACACGTACTTGGGTGCAGTTGAATTCCTGGCAGAGATCTTCTGGATGTAAGTTTGTTTGGTCTCCGTAACCATGGTCACCGTACAAATCTACATGCCTATCTTGAAGTTATGATTGGATAAGCCTGTCATTGACAAATGGGACCGGGAGCGGCCAATTAAACAACAGTTACTGGGAATGAAACATATAATCGACAATGAAAAGTGCCATACCCGAGAAAGGCTGGTAGACTGAGATACAATCGAAAGTCTGTACTGCACTGAGAAGACCTAAGTTATTTCCAGATAATTTTATTGCGATGTTGAGGCTAGTTTGTTAGAAGAGCTTTGGACCTAGAATTGGTCTAGAATTTGGCTCAACATCGAATAATAAGTCCTTGTTGTATCTAAAACAAATAAAGTTAATACAGCACAAAAGCGAAACACTGAATATATAGCTCTCCTCAAAACAAAGTAATCTAATTCACAAATTGCAAATCAAATTAAATGTTAACCACCACGCCTCTCAATGTACCAATCAAATCTGCCTAACAATCAATTCCTCAGATTATTCAAAAGTTTCCCTTTTTGGTTCAAGATCTACCCAATAGCCATTAAGATTTGAATAAAAATATACTGTTTGTTTAAAAAAGCTTTGTAAAAAAACATTTTAATTTTAGTTATAATCTTTAAATCAAATATTATAGCGTCTGAGTGTTAGTTGAACTGCTACAAAACTTAAAAACTGCACAATTTTGTCATGCTGTCCTATCTGTTTTTGTGAGTGCAACAAAATGGGTGATACTTAAAATTCAAACCGCAGTTAAGTCAACTATATTAATCAAGAAGAAATTGGCAACCATTATGAACAGCAAAAATCCTTTTTCCGCGTTCATTCAGCTCTACCTACTAGCAAGTTAAGCAATCGGCCGGATGCAGCGATAAATAAAACAAAACATAAATCTTTGTAAACAAATCTCGGTGGACGAAGCTCCTTCGCTACAACACATTTGACAGTTGCAACTCTTCTGGCGACGTTATCCCGATCGTGAATTCGTTCGCTTCTTTCGTACTCTGAAGAAAGAATTGTTAACTAACACATCTCGTTTGTGAAGGACGACGTTGACAAAAATTTAAACTTTTTAGCTAGACCGTAACCAGAACTAATTCTATCCTTAGCTATAAGGCAATTGCAATCAAATAACGTATCTTTAAAATCAATACGTACCGCGGAATCGGGATGATTTTCGATGTATTCGTTGTTGACAGGCTTTTCGTCCGATAACATTACTAACATGTCCTGGTCCTGAGTTAGCCGCGTGTCGCCGTTAAAATTATTCAGCTCTTCGAGGGTATTGTTATTATTAGTAGGACCCTCTGATACTGAATCGTCGAGATCATCCGAAAAATCGATTAATATATTGTCATTAACATTCTGATCGACGCCATTATCCGGTGAAGGAGTATTCTGTTCGCTTATTTCCTCCTCGCGAATTTCTTCCTCACGAATTACTTCCTCGGATGTTTCTTCCGCGAGAGTTTCTTCCTGAGGAATAACTTCTCGAGGAATTTCTCTCTCAAGATTTTCGTCTTGGGTAACTTGTTCCGGCTGAAATTCTTCCTTTTCTACGTCACAAGAGATCTGATCTACATTAGAGTTCATTTCTCCAGTATTATTGCCCTCGTTTGAAGCATCATCTGAGCTGTCCTGACTGTCCTGTTTCCCTTGTTTTGATGCGGATGGTATATTAAGCTTGATGTTGTGTTTGGCGAGAATAGCACTGGCATTAGCTGATATCTCGCGCTGAAATAAAAGTCATTAAAATTCTATATTTTATAATTTTACATTTCTATGATCTCGTTTATTTCCAGGTAACTCATCGACTTAAACACTCGTAAACGGGCAAATGACTTATTATTAAATCAAGTCTTTTCAGGTAATGTGAAATTAAAGTACAAACCGATGGAGCAGTTTCGAGTTTCACCGAAGATCTCTTCAAAATGGCGTCCAGTTTCTAAAAAATATATCGTGTTACCCTAAATTGGTAATGAAACTCTCTGAAAAATGTTTAGATCACAAAAAGGAAGCAAACAGCTAAGCGAGCCCTTAAATCAAACGAAGTTCACCTTCTGTCGTTCACGCCTCTCCTCTTCCTGGGCCGAGCGTTCCTCTTCTGCCTTGCGGCGTTGTAACTGCAGTGTCTCTTGCTCGTCCCGCTGCTGTGACTCCTGACGATCTTGCTCGGCACGAATCCGCTCCTCCTGCTCCTTTTGCTCTTGCTCTGCTTGCTCGAACTCTGCTATTCGGGCTCTTTCCGCATCTTCTTCCATTTGTTTCCTGTTTACAAGATAAGTCAGGCTGGGGATTTCAATTAGAAAATTCGCTAGATATGAGATTTGAATAAAGAATCAGCTATGACTAAATTTCTAGAAATGGAACTTTTTAGATGATAAAGGTACGAGTGTATGGCAACTTTTAATTTGGGGCGATCACAGGAAACGCTTATATTGTAGTAACGATATAAATCCACGATTCGCATTTGGCTTACTTTCTTAGTTCTTTCTCTTTCAACATTCGCAGCCTAGCTTCCTCAGCCTCAGCACGTTTCCTCTCTTCTTCAATCCTCTTCTCTTCTGCAATCCTTCTTTCTTCTTCCTCCTTTATGGCCCGTTCTTCGCGGGCTTTCTTCCTTGCCTCCTCAAGTCGTAATTTTGCTTCCTCTTGTTGGTTCACTGTTTAAAATAGACATTCATTAGTCAATTTATTGATAAAAATCAGTGATTTCAATTATCAGAATATCAATCCCTCATACTGCAGTTTACTCAAACTTGCAGCCATAGAATAATTGAATTATCTATCTTCTTAAGATTAAAGTTATCTTGTCTTCAAGTTAACTTATTGAATTACCTTTAGCCTGCATTGAAGTGTTCATAACAGATTTGGTTGGTGATTCAACAGGTGTATGTTGCCGTGGGTCAGCTTTGCCAACTGATGATCTCCGAGGTTTTGGAGCAGAGGTTTTGGAGGGTGCTGTTATTGGCTTTGACTGAGTGGCTGCTGATTTTCTGTTCATACTGGACGTTCTCGGCTTTGTGTTCGGTTTGGAGGAATCTGCAACGAATTATGTTTGGAGTATCATTGTTACAATTCATTGAGCCTACCCAAACTAGACTATTGAGATTGTTCCTTTCGATTCCTTAGTATACTAACTCATTCAAATTTCAATAATTGTAAAAGCCAGCATCAAATCGATCATGCGATGTGAAATATACTGAAGGTTCGAAATGAATCGAAAGCGCGCGCGCGATCGATAGAATTGAAATTTATATTTATTATATTTATTTAATTCTAAATCTGTTGGTGCGCATAAAAGCTATAAATGAAACCCATGCGCGCTCCAAACGCCTTCTAAAATGGACTCTTCGTGTCCCAAGATCCATGATTTACAGCCATTGCATGCTCGTCGGTCAGTGTTCATACTTCATTATTGTGTCGCGCAATGAATAACTTTGATAAACAATTACGAAAATAGATGAATTATAAGATACGAATGAGAATTCTTCTATTAACTTTATGACTGTATATTATCGTACTTGCATGTTGAATTTACGTCGAAAAACAGTTGCATATATTTGGACAAGCATCCGTCACTTCAACATACGACAGCGATTTTCAACCGGCCAAATAAATTTAGAATTGCTTGCATCAAGGTTAAGGTATGAGTTCAATATAAGAACCACCGGTTCTACTTATTGGTTGAAAAGGATCAAATGTACCATGATTTATCTTCTGTACTGCATTAGTACTACTATAGTGCTGTATTAGTAAACTGTGTACAAGTTGGTAATTACATTTAGTAACAAATGATCCCGGTTCCTAGCAACTAGCCCGTTGTCCACGAGATAGCCGTGCTTTTCTCATGCAATATCCCTAACTTGGGTTAACGTATATTTGTTACTAAGGTGACTGTTTATAAGAATGACCAGTACAGCGACATTTGTTGTGATGTTCCTTCTAGCAAGTTCTAAAGTTAAGGGAGCCGCGCTGGGAGGCTATACTTCTATAAACAATACCAAATATCAAATATGATTGCTTTAACATTACACTTATTCCTAAGAATAGGTGTAGTGTACAATGAACATTCAAGCTCCCTTAGTTTCATTAACATGCAAATTTACAGTGTGTAGCCTCTATATCCTCCGAGTAAAAGACAGCATTACATCACGCACTGGGCCTCAGGACATATGTTACCATGCATTATACAATATGGTGACCACCTGCATGCTACACTATAGTCGGGACAGTAAGTGGTTTATAGTTAACATGGAGTAGAACGCGTGTATTTGCCGGCTACCTCACTGTCTGTAATTTTCAGGCGTCACGGTGACCTACAGTCAGGTTTAGACTTCTTGGAGGTTATGGAATATTCGTTAATTAATGCACTGTTGAGGCTTCTTGAAAAATTCACCATCTAATTAAGGCACAGTTATAACAATACTCAATTAACACTTAATTTACCTTCAGGAGTTCTTCTACCAGAGGGAGTAAAGTTAGAAACTTTGGTAGGCTTCAGAAGATTCTTCATATCAACCTTCTTCTTCATCGTATTCTTCTTATCCTCATCCTTCTTAGTTTGTTTTATAACGGGCTGACTAACTGTACCTTTTAAAACAAAATGACGTTAACTCTAAATATACCGAGTGATAAGTAAAGAACGTTAAGTAAAACAGGGAGAGGGGTGTTGTACTGTTAATAGTGTGATGACATATTGCCTTGTTGCATACTGATTTAAATGCCACCTGCAACCGAGTGCGAATGAGCATACCTTCGAGTTTATACTCTGGCGCAACCAGTAAACTATTGCGAAACAGTCAACTTTAAGTGAGAGATAGTTTTAATTAATCGCCATGTTGTGATGTTGCAACATTCATACAGGGGGGACATAATATGATATGCTGTCTAAATATAAAACTAACCTTTTGTAGATCTCGGGGCCGGGGTAACAGATTTTCTCAGTGACACAGTGTGTACAGGCCCACTTGTTGGCAAGGCCCCCATTGAGACTGGGCGCTTTAAACGCGGTGTGGTACTGTGCGGGCGCAACTGCACTTTGGGACTGGACAAGTTCTGTACTGACCTGAAGTGATATCATGTTACGGGAGAATATTCGGGGTATTTTGTTTCGGATACTTTTCTAGTGTATGGTATGTTGGTGGTTAGTTGAAAGATAACGTGAGATGACCATACATTCTGATATAATCTTTTGAACCATTGGCCTACGTTGTTGATTAGCATGTGTTTGTGTGTCGTCAGTTTTGTGATTCGAGCTTCTGGGCTTGACCAATTTAATTCGTTCGCACATAATCATGATAATCAGTCATCAAGCAGTTGATATAGCTGTGAGCCCTAAATAACATGCTCAAAACATAATCACAGTACTCAAGTTGCTTAATTGTTGCACAACCTCTCACTGCTGATTATATTAAAGCAGTATTTGTTGCAACACATAGACCACTGATAATTTCTATACGTCTGTTGGAGGTTGGTGTACAATCTCAATACAATAAAGAATGTAAGAGGTCTTAAGTATGTGCTCATATAGAATTCTGCACTTTGAATACAGTAATGTACTGTAATGTACTGTACTGTATGGTGATATCTAAAGTTATTCTTCGATAAGTTTAAAATTCTCGTATATTTCGGACTCACAGATTATTGTACTCAGAAGTCTGCCGTCTAAAGTTTACTAGCTACTGTTTGCAATATCTATTTCCAGCTAGATGTTCTGTTAATTGTTTCAATAAAGAGAGATGTTTGCCATTTTAGGAAATGGAACAGACATAGTACAATAGAACTACCAAAACGCGTCAGTAATTCATTACAACAATACGTGATAAACAGCACGTTCTCAAATAAAGTCCTTCCTGTTGCTGACCTTCTTCTTCTTTTTTGGGAGTTATAACAAATGTTCTTCTCTAATTGACGATCTTATCTGTGAGAGTTACATTATACATAAGATTAATAAGCACAATTACATTGACATCGATGTTTTGAGCAAACATCTGCATTGCCCATCTCTAAATGTGTGCAAATACCATTCTGCTGTTCGAGAGTGACAAGGCTAAGACACTTTTAAAAATTTATGGAAAACTGATTTATGGAAAACTGACTGACTGATTTATGGAAAACTGATTTATGGAAAACTGATCTATGGAAAACTTTTTGTTCACGGACAAATTTTAAAATATAATGATTGAAACTATCTCAAAATTATCTTCTTTCGATACTCACTACAAGTTTGTCTGATTTTATAACGAGATATTTCAATCTAAAACTAAATCTAATTGACACGTCTTATATAATGGCGAATTTTGGTTCTGAATCGCTCATAAATTCTATACCACCAACCAAGGCTAAAACTTTTATTAGTAACGAATAAGTAACTTTTAGTAACGGGTTTGAATACTGTACGCTAACTCTAATTTTGATAATTGAGTATTGAAAATACTTTTACTTGAACACAATACACATTGTGTAAAACAATATAATATACGTTACATTGTATTGTATTTCGTGCTTATCATAACTTGTATGTGATTACTAGTTTAACAATAAGTTTACCGTTATACCGTTATTAGAAGATAATGTTACATCTATTTATACTTGTTTTGTTTTGTTTTGATTCTACATTTGTATGCTACATTCTCAATCTCGGTGCTCTGTGCTGTGCGTAGTGAAGTTTATACCAGTGTGGTGAAGTTTATACCATTGTATGTTAAGGGGGCACACCCTCACATCAGCTTGATACGTTAAGGATATAAATACTGTATTCCATTTCATATAACCATAATTACCACTACTCGGCCACGTAACACCTATAAAAGGTGATACAGATTACCCAGCCCCACGCCCATCACCTGGCCAGACAACGTCACCGCTACATTACAGTAACAAAGGCGAAATGACCAGCTATCATATGTTGGGATTACCATTTACCGCGGTCCCAACAACAACAGCACATTGAATCTATGTCACGGATCAAATAACGTACCTCAACCTGCCATTACATAGCGGGGAGGAGGAATACCAGTAATTTTATTATCCAGGTGGTATACGGTACATTTACAGGTGTCAGTGGTATTAATATGAAGAAGTGTGGCTGTCCCAATATCCAGGGTCCTGATTTGATGAATTGGTTATTGAACTGAGTCATGAGTGGGTGTGGGACTGTGGGACGGTTAACCTAATGCTGGGTGAGGAGGATTAATACTAGTAACCACCTAGTAACCACCTAGTTACTACCTAGTAACCACCTAGTAACCACCTAGTTACTACCTAGTAACCACATAATAACCACCTAGTAACCACCTAGTAACCACCTTGTAACCACCTAGTAACCACTTAGTAACCACCTAGTAACCACTTAGTAACCACCCAGTAACCACCTAGTAACCACTTAGTAACCACCTAATAACCACCTAGTAACCACCCAGTAACCACCTAGTAACCACCTAGTAACCACCTAGTAACCACTTAGTAACCACCCAGTAACCACCTAGTAACCACCTAGTTTAATACCTCCAGTTATTAGCCGCCAACTGTTCCGGCTACTTGTTCGCTGCTACCTCAAGTGTACCAGCTTATTCACAAGTCATCACTAATACTATCACTTCTTCAACATTCCTCCACTCTCCACTCTCAAGCTGTTTACAGTAGCAGCTGGTCAGTATACATTCCACCAGTCAGTATACATTCCTCCGCCGATGTTAATTTAGTGGGGAGTTCCCTCTCACTGTATTATACTGTATGTGACTAGAGATTATTTATTCTTGGAAACTTATTCTAGGAAATAGTTTTACTTTCACATAATACACATCATATTACATTCTATAATCTATCAGTTAATTGCAGTGCACCACCTCCCACCCTGAAGTATTAAATTTGATTGTTACTTGATGTCACCGAACAGTTAGCGTAACTTGTAATTTAATTTAGAAATTAAGTCATAGGTACGCGGTGGTAGGTGATGTTCACGGTGTTTTGCCCGTAAAATTATCTCTGTTTTAGGAAGTTGATTGAGCTACTTTAGTGTGTTGCAGTTTACATGTGTTTCATTTTGCCGTGAGTGATTGACTATCATCTTGCTGTACACGACTTTCGTTTTGAATTTATATTGGTTATATGTTTTCTTGTTATGGTTTCCTACAATAATCATCCAAATGATTAGCTGATTAGTTATCGAACTTTGATTGTCGGCCGATAAAATGCATACAATTTTAGCTTTAAATGTGGACAAAGCACGTACTTGTAACTCATTTAGGGATATAAGTATTGCTTATTCTGCTGTGACACTATAGATCCGATCATGAGATTTTTGCTAGTAAATTTGGATGTTCTGATCTAGATAAATCATGGTAATTGAACCATACCATGTATACATGATCACTGATACAACTGTTATTTTGGCTTGCCTCGAGTTTTAAATTTATAGATTGAAGAACTTTTTGATTCTGCAGATTTCTCCAGGCTAACTACCTTATGTTTAGATTCACGACGCTAATTAAACCTAAATAAATGACAGATCCTACTTATCATGTCAAACGTAGATTATACAGATAATTCTAGTCACAGACAATGTTAGAGCATGGCTTGCACTTTAATTAAAACAGAGCATTTACCAAGCGACGTGATTTGCAGCTTATTTGCCATGTCTGATGAACTATTTCTAATCTTCCCTAGATCCTACAGCTGCTTAAACTGCTAGGCCACCCAGTATAATCCATATCTGAGTAGGCTCAATTTCACCAATTTCAAGCTACGCGTCCCTAATTTTTGGGGTCAGCGGATCAAATTTATGGCTTGGTTGATGGCAAACTTTGCTTACCAGAGTTAATTCTTAAAAGAAATTTTGTAAACAGATCCATTCATGACTTTCCAGCAATATGTACATAACTATCGCCGAGAATAAGGTGCAAATAATGAATCAATTTTGTCGGTAATTGAATCCGACAGAAATGAATTGATAAAAGAGACATAATGATAATTTGTTGATGGAATACCTACAATTATATAGTTAATTAATTTAACTTTCACACAGTAAGAAGACGAACGAAGATGTCTCCAGATTTTGCCAACATCATAACATTCCGTCTGCTAAGCGACAGAGAACGATACACTTGGGCAGGATTTTTAATAATGGTGGTCTTAGTATCTTTGTTGGCAAACACGATCATTCTAGTGGGTTCCATAAAATACCGGGCTATCAAAGTACACAGAATGATCATCACCTATATTGAACAAATGGCGATCTGCCACTACATATTTACTGCTTGCATTATACTGCCCAGTTCAGTATGTGCGATTCAAGACAAATGGATCTTTGGGAGGTTGTACTGCGTCTTTTCAGTCTACATTTTGAACTATTTCTACTCAGTTAATATGCTCCTAATTTGTGGCATGGCCACTAATAGACTACTCATTCTCAAATACCCTCTGAAGGCCAGATCTTTTTCAAGAACGGAGGGACACATCAAGGTGATCGCATCTGTTTGGTTCTTGGCTATGCTCTACCTATTTTTGTTTCTTGCATCGGACAACGGTGACTTTTTCGTCAACTACAAAGGATATACTTGCGACTACGGTTTCTCGACCAACACTTGGATTTTGCTAGGCCGTCTTTTCATCAGTCAATGTGTTCCTTGGGTTATAGCGATAGCAGAAGGGATTTTGGTATACCAACTGTACGAATCAGTTAAGGCAGCAAAACGAACTCGAGCAAAGTTTCAGTGGCAGGGAATAGTAACCGTATTGCTCATAGCGGGTGTCTTCATTATATCAACTCTGCCTCAAACTATTTACATCCTGTCTTATTCTGTTTTTTCCTTAGGAGCAAACGACGACTTGACAGTTGGTCTATTATCAAGTCCAACATATTACAGGATATGCACAGCCGGCTACTATTTCAATGTCACGATAAACTTTTTGATTTACTTCGTTATGATTCCGAAATTTAGAAGCTTCCTTCGAGAGCGAATATGTCATCCGGTGATTACAATTTCATCATGTTTGTCATCCTATCTTCTTCTATTGAATGTGACACCAGCAGAAGAAAGGACTAACGAAAGAAGAAGGGTACGAGCAGATACAGCCGTGTGAAGTGTGAACTCAGTTTATAAACTTGTTATGTTTTTACGATTGTAAAATGTTTTTAACCAGTAATTTTTAAATAGTTTTTGAAATTATTATTTATACAGATAAGACTACACAGTTATTGTTAAAACTACAATTAAAATTCTTAAACGTTGTACAAATAAATCTCAAACTTGACCATAACCTGGAATCGGTATAAAAATATGAATGGTAATACATCTCCTTCATACTTTCATATACTGGAGTTGTCATCTCCTTCTCGAGACCCTCGAACCACACATAAATACATGTTTCACTGCTGGGAAGTGTACTAGGCCTATGATCCGAGCTGAATGCTTATCTTTAAATTTCCGAAGCTGTACCATTTTACAACACGAACGTTTTTGAGTTAGCTGCGTTTTGTAATGCATTGATTTACCAGTTCCTAGCTGGATGGAAAAGGGCGTCTCCTTAATTTCATTGAGGCGACAACCTTTGAACCTTTTCGCAGCATTAACAGTGCATTAAAAAGGACTATGGTTGAGGACAGACGTCATTGACTGCAACTTAAAGGTGCAAAATCGTTGTACATTAAATATTTATCAGTCATATTACGGATATAAATGCTCATGCTCATAATATAAGATAAGAAATAAAACCTTATAATTGGCCGGACTTGGTCTGCATAAAAATCTGCAGAACGATATAATTAGTGGGCTGTTTAAAGTGTGATCACGTGATGCTACTACTGGATACTACTACAAATCACGTGATACTACGTGTCAGAGTACAGACTGGATATTATTTATGTACTAGAGGAGTAGTCAGCAGAGGACTCTGTCATAACCTATACTTGTGATTAACCTGAAGTTGTTGTAAAGTGACCAGGTGGTATGATTACCACATGTGTTATCTTATCTCAGTTATTACGCTTGCACTCTGTGGTAATATAGCCTATATTATATATATATATATGAGTGAGTTAACCGTATTTTAAAACTTCCGATTAGTAGAGAACACTTTATTCGAGAACGAACTGAACCTAGATTAGAACTAACCTTCCGGGAAAGATATGTCCATTTTTGACAAAAGATAACCTGAGACGGCCGATTTCACGTGTATTTTTGATTTTATTTTTACGTGTAAGACCAGTACTAGACCAGCAATAGACCAGTACTAGACCAGTATTATACCAGTTTGGTCACTTTCAAGTCGTAAATTTTATAGTTGTTCAAAAATTAGGATAATTTAACAATGTCAAATTTCCTACCAAATATACACACTCATGGAGTTACGTACTATTTACTGTTATATAAGGTCACTAAGACTAGGTGATTTATTTATTCTATAATATTGTGTGTAAGAGCAGTCGTGTGATGAGTAGTAACCTATCGTGTAAAATATTGAATGTAAATTTTAATAAATATATTGTACATGGTTTGAGGGTGTTTTTAAGGATAAACATTACATAAGTCCTAAAAGCTTGAGAGTTGAGAATCAACGCCGCAAATCTTTTAGTCTTAGGATTGTTTTGAAAAATATAACGTTCGCGTTGCATACACAAATCATATTTAATGTTATTGTAAGCCATGAATTTTGCTTACATTAGCAAACTATCAGGAACTTTAATAAAAATTATTAAAAATGCCTTCGTGCAAATTTGAGTTCAGACTTCAGAGCTGAACTCAACAAATACACTTGACATTTTATGTATATTAACCATGTACCATTATACCAGTAGTAATTCTGTTCTGATCGACTAATACGGGAGTACTTACTAATATAGGAGCAGTATATGTACTACAAACTAGGCGTTCTTACATATTTGCATATTAAAATTGCCTCTTCAACATATAGGATGTTGCAATAATTACAGTTTAAGTCAGTGTACTGATATCTTCTGGTACAGTTTCCTGATAGACATTATAAGCTGAAAGAGATTGACTTATTGATACACAATTAGATATTTATGTACTTATGACTATACTATATGTATGTTTCCTTGTAGCAAATAACGGCAGCTGACTTTGTTAATAATATAGAAACTTCGAGAATAACGTATTGTATGGTGAAAGCAGAAAGGAGACATGTTATAGAAACTTCGAGAATAACTTGATGGTGAAAGCAGTGAACATAGACAGCAGGAAAATCATCACAAAGAAGTAAAAATAGACTCTAATATAATAATAACAATTGACGCTGTGAGTGTGAAAGAGTGCGATGATATTTATGAAGGAGCACATGTAAATAGGCATTTCCATTTGTAGATGATAACCAAATCTATACTTTTCACAGTACTGAATGAGTGTTAGAGTTTGTATCTTACAAACTCTTACACTCACTACCTTTACTGAGATCAAGAAAGCTCTCTACTTTAATGACATTGAGATCGTTTCACAGTAGAAGCAGACATTACATCACCTCAATCACGTGACAATGGTGATTTAATGTCCCATCCCTCCAACTTGTACTCCCTCCTTGATTGCTCGTCTAAGAGATTAAATAGTGTAGGGCTAGGTATGTATAAGACAAATGGTTACAATCGCCCAGATCTATAAAATAACGTACTGACTCAGATAGATGTAGCTGCAAAACGCACACTGCACAGATTAAACTTAAGCTATAAACTTGGGCGTGATTAAAAGATGACTCTTACTTGGCAGAATAAAATAGATTGAGCTATGAGTGTACTTCAACAATCAGAGAAGGCGCTTGAGTTATACGAGATCCATTTACAGCGATTCAAATTGCACTTAAAATTGCGAATTTTCCGGAAATATTTGTTTAAAGATTCATATTTAAAAGATTTTGTTAGAGTAATTATTATAATACGTTAACTGATAATTACTTTGTACACGTTGTCGCTTGTCGAGTCACGCTCCATTCGCATTAGTGTTTCTCATGTGATTAGTATAATAAAGTAGGATTAAAAAGAACATTCTGTCCTGTTTTTCTGAGCCAGTAATAATTTCTTAGATGATGACCCGTAAATATAATAAGATAATAACGACCCATGGCCATATTATCATGACTATAATTACTGTGGTGTATAATAACCAGCTTTAGGCATTACAATTCATGATCACGTGACTGTTTGCTAGAATTAGTTCCATCTCACACAGTTGTAAATAATTTGATATATTTTGAGAAAGAGCACAAAAGTGTTCAATGAACGGCGTATAATAATTGTAAACAGTTTCATGTGCATTTAAATGTAATAGTACGGCAATACGTAGAATGAACAACTTTAATGAGGCAAGGGCTCTTTGAACAATATGTTGGCGTCGTTTTAACATCATTAATTATGGGGAATTATGCGGCAGTGATATTTAAGTGGTTGAAGATAAAGGCTTACTACGATCTAAACTAGTCGCACATGATTATATCAAATTATAATTACATAATATTATATTACTATGTTATTATTGTGACGATGATTATTTTATTATCTTATTATGTTTTATGGTTATGAAATAAAATAATGTGCTTGAATGCCGCGCCGGCCATATGAATAGCAACTGACAAAAGTGCCAGGGAATAACCCCCCCCCCCCCCCCCGGAGTAACCATGTCAGAGAGCGGTTCTAAAAGTTGACGTGAAACATTCAGCAACAAACAACTATATCATCTCAAAAATCAAATCTATTCAGAAAAAAAAACCTTTTACTATATCATATACATGTAGTTATCGTAGGACATTTTATTGATACATAAAACACTAAGATTAGCAATAAGCCATCAAAAATCACTTTTCTTTTATTCACGTAATATAGAAATCACAAGAAAATTTATCGGTATGTTACACGGTCACTAAAAAAACAGATACACCACCAACAAGGTGCGATGCAGTGATCCATCGGTAACAGGAGAAATATACCTCCACATCCTTGACAAACGTAGATTAAAGTTAAGTTTAAGTTTGACTAAACAAAAACTTGAATACTTACATCACCATTCACCACAGAACCTTTAATTCTAGCGTAATGTGCTACATATTATGTATAAAAAGTTTTTAAAAAGAAGGAAAAGTTGACGAACCCAGTTTTCTGCTTTTCTGCGGTGATGTTGAGACTCATTGAAGATCTTGATCTGACGGTGGAACCGAAAGCACCTGATTTTACTGGGCTGGCTCGTGAACGTTGTTGTAACTGAAATGTTGGACATGATATATACAATCACAATATATTATAGTGATTAAGACACGAATGTCTCAGTTAAGGAAACCACAGTTGTATTTTTGTAGCTAGCTTCATTCGTGCAGTGTGAACACAATTTGTATGTGCATAATGTATGCTCATACAAAATATGTAAGATTGCGATTGAAGTTAAGCGGGTTGATGGTTGTAACTTGTAAAACATACAAGGAGGATGTTTTGACAGTTGTTTAACTACTATGATTTACACCGAGTACACTTGTTGAGTGTACTATAACATGATTATAATGTAAAACAACATGCTGAGCTTATGTCATGTTTCACCTTTGGAATTCGAGACGGCCTCTCAACGACAGGAGATAGGGATCCGATGTCAGCGGACATGGCGAGAAGAGGGGAACCAGACAACTTTAAATTCTAGTTACATTCTTAACTATGCGATAATAACTACAGAGAAGTAGATATATTAACGAATGTTCGGTTTTTGGAACAACCACGGAGAAATGATTCTCGAACTACTAATGAAGTGATTTTAGCCGTATAAGGTATTATAACGATTCAAAATTGAATGCTCCTTCATAAAACAATCACCGTGTTATGAATTTGACCATTGCAAATCCAGCATTTAATCTAGCAAGTAAAGTGATGAACCATGAAAACTGGCTATGACATGACGTTGAGTTTCGATATTGCAGCTAAAATTCGATGCTCCAAATTCTAATCCAGTAGAACTCTAAATTCTAATCCAGTAGAACTCCTTAAAAAATATCATCTTTAAGGCGAGAAACAAATCTTTAGTGCAGATACCTAACATAATATAAATGCTGTCAGAAACGGCATGATCAATGTCATCTCACAGCCATCACTAGTTTAAGGACAGGTGATAAATACCTCGGCCTGGCTTATTTAAACGTCAGCTCAGAATTAAGATTAAATCATCCCTAGATCGGAACTGTCGGTTAATAATAGGTTATTACCATCGCTATTTGCCTCTATGAGTATGCGGTTCGTATGTTGAACAGACCGTATATTTTGATCAGTGCTATATCTACGTTCAACGTTTTATGAAACCTATAAGTTTTACTCATATATATTATATATGTTGTTTTGACAAAGAAAGAGGTATTAGGTTTGACTCCCTTTGACTACATTGCCGATTGATATTTTTTGTTGTTGATATTCCCGATCGAAAATACTGAAGTACAATAATTGAAGGCTGATTGACAGACAGGTTTAACGTTGATATTTGAACAATCAAGCTGCAGGATCAATGAGTACATCGGAAATACGATGCTGTCCGGTTAACTTTTAACCCAGATTAGTGTTTTACAGTAAAAGCTGAAATACAAACTCTTGACTAAACAGAATACTTGCAGAAGTGTACCAGAACAGGAATGTCCACTATATCTATATATATATAATATATATATTAAACTCAATCTGCACTGCTCATTCAATTAGATATTCAATGAAAGATTGCACGAGATCCGGTCCGTTCAACTGAATTTTCTATTGCTAAGCTGGTCCCGGTTCGGTTGGAAATTATTTATCCAGTCTGCTCCTAATATTATGTAAGGTAAAGTAATACATGTATTTTCCAAATCATTTACAACAATAAACTTATTTACAAGTTGATGATTGGTATCGGTAGGAAATATTGATTACTAATTTATTTAACACATTTAGATTGGTTATTTGAGTCTGCAATTCGAGTTTAGATCTATTTTCAAGAATGACGATTGGGTATGTTGAAGTTTACTGTCCAACTAGACAACATATATCGGAAACTTTTGCCGCATCTCGCCGTAACCATCCTCGATGACTGATGTTCTACCCTAACCATGTCATATTATACCAAAAATGTAATCCTGACTCATGTGTAATTCCGCGTACACTAAATGTAAGCATACAATCTGAGTTGGCAGAACGACAAACCCAAACACAAGAACGAATACACGAATACAAGCGCAGCACAACGAAATGAGCTCTAAAATATGCAACAGTACACATTGCATTGACACTTGCCCTGCTGTGGATAGCACTATTTTCAGTAATCTGTTTCCTGTTGGAATGCAACGTTTGCAGGACCGGAGGCAAACAAGTGGGTAGAAGTGAGAGTGGCAATGTACTAGACAGCGACTTAGCAGTGCAGACAGCCAAAATGAAACAATCTGAATGAACCTCGAAATGAACGATCTGAGATTTGATCGGTGAGATAATAATCACCAGACGCCATGTGCTGACACCTGGTGGTCACAGCAGGGCAACCTGTCAACAACAATTCAAAGTATGTGTGATATGTTCCACACAGCGACCCTATTAGGTATTTACCCGGCGGTCTGCGGCTTCGTGTTTCTTCAGTATTGCCATTTTCTTCTTCTCCAATTCTTCTGCTTGTTTCTTCCTTCGCTCGTCCAATGCTCGTTTCTTTTCCATTTCGCGGAGTTTGAATTGTGATACTCGTTTCCTGTGATTCTCAGGGGAGAACACTCGCTTTGTTGTACTGGGGGATGCACCTGAGAAAATACAATTCATTATTCGTAGCATGCCTAATAGTAACGTTGACGTTTTGTAAAATTCTTATCAAGTAGTATGATAGACCATGGTTAAATACATTTCCATTAACTTATTACTTAGCCAATGAGTTATTAACTATTTATACCACGTCGTCTTGCCCCACGAACCCCTGTCTAGGATCTTGTGTTCAACCGAGAAATCAAACATGGTCCTTTACACAAAACCTAATCTTAACCCTGACCCAAACTATTTAACCTTAACACGACCTCAAGAAATTTACTACAATGTTGTTGGGCTGCTTGGGCAGGTGACGGGGCTGGTCACCAATAAGATGATAACATTTCAGAAGATTGATTAATTACAAACATCTTCGTTAAGAGCCATCATCTGATGAGCTTGACTCATTTATCAGCCAAAAAAGGAGTAGAAATAAACTAACTTTTAACTTTACGAGGACTGGTAGGTGACTTGGAGAGAGCTTTAGTCGGTGTCCTAGACGGTGACAAACTCTTCTTACTCTCCGGAGAGCTCCCTGATTCCATCTTGTGAACTTCAGTGCTGGGCAATGGCCTGAACAACAAAAAATTATTTATTCTTATTTCAATTTCAATTGAAATGCTAAGCATGTCAAGATTAATGGAAAGTTAAAAGTTTTACTGCATGCCAATACGATGTATAGCATAAAACAGGCATCGTATGCAATCTCTGTTTATGTACAGTAATATAAAAAACTTATTTTCTAAAATGTGATTCAATACAGTGAAAATGATTCTTGTTCGAGGGACATATTGGTAATTATTCAAACTTACGTCAGAGAAATTATAGGTTCTGCTGAATAAGTAACTTCAGATTCAGACTCATTGAGTTCACCATTATTTTCACTACAAATTTTTTTAATCTCTTCATTCTCATTATCTTCAAACTCCGGGGGCACAACAGGCGAAGTTGCCGAAGGTGATACTGCTGCTGCTCCGTTGCCTGCAGACGCCTCACCAAGTAAGTCCTCTTGAGGAACGAAGCTATCCATCATTGACATGATGTTGGTAAATTGGGGAGGGAATTCACATCTACATTCACCTAAGGTTACATGATTGTGATTATCATAACGAGGACCATCTTGTAATATAATTCATTAAGACATGCTTTTAAAACACAGTAAAATAAGTTACAACATGCAGAACTTACTTTCACTGTTGTCAAAGTAACCCAGCTTATAATTATATTTACTGCCACTGTGTTAGAGCAGAGTCAGTCTATATTCTACAGTGTGCATGTGAATTGTGCTGGCTGTGATCCACGATGCAAACATAATTACAAACATAGTGCCAGCTTTTACTCTTTAACATTATAAGATATCCTAAAACAGAATATTATCAAAATTGCTGAAAAGCAAATTAATTGTAACTAAATGAACCATCAGCCCAATCGGCTGAAACCATTTCAGACAATCAAATTCAAGATATTGTATAAATAACTTGTATTCTGAGTTCCAGCTGCAGTCTGCACTGGAGGGTCGGAGATGGCTCTTTAGAAGAAATCGATATAGAATTTACCATAATCAAATACACAAAATTACCATAATTAATTCAACTAAATACAACCTTGGATTTATAGAAAGCACTATTAATTAATACCCACACTTATTAGTTCTACTCCATTTTATACAATCACAATACTGTCTTACCCCTAGACCATATTTCAAAACTTTTACCGGGTTGCTATTTTAAAGTGCATTGTAACCCTTAATTGTGCCATCAAGTGCCCCAAGTTATAGGAAAATGATTTTGTGTCATCCTGAGTGACCTTGCTAGATGGTCATTCAAGAAGCTTCTCTTCAAAACATGTTCCAAAATCTCTTCTTCTATTCTGTTGATTTTCCGTTAATTAAAGGCTTCTTTGGAAATAGAAAGCTCAATCGTGTCTTGTGTTATCCTCAGTGACCTTGCTAGATGATCATTTAAGAAAAATTCAGTCAAAACAGTGAAATTTGGGTCGCAGAGGGGTCATTCACATATTACATAATCAATATTTTATCAATTTTTACCCCCTCCATAATCAACCATAATGAAGACCCAACCCCCCCCCCTCCCCTCCTGACAGCAATATTATGTAATCATGGCCTGACCCCCCCCCCCCCCCCCCCTGGACTTTTTTCCCTAAAAAACACTTTTCTCTATGTTTCATGCTACCCTGATCATGCTATCATGATGAGCCGAAATCATTGTTATGATATCCGGCCACGCACCTTCTAAACTACTTACTATTATAACCGGATATTCGATAAATTTCTAAATTTTATCACTTTCAGAGTGAAATTGAGTGGAATTTGAATTAAAATATTGTCAAATTGTTAATATTCTAGACGGTAAAAAGAAAATTTGTAATACGTAATCACTCTCACCGACCTCACTGATTGGTCACAGGTCAAAAATTGAGTGAAAACCGCGAAATGTCGGTCAACAAGACGACAGATAAGGTTCCTTCAAAAATCTTCCAAAATCTCTTCTTATAATATGAAGATTTTCCGTTTAAATCAAAGCTATCTTTGGGAATCGAACTTTCAGCACCTTAATCGTGTCTTGTGCCGTCCTCAGTAAACTTGCTAGATGGTCATTCAAGAAAAATTCAGTCAAAAAAGTGAAATTTGGGTTGCGGAAAGCTAAAATCAGCCTCACTATTACAACCATCCTGTGACTACAGGAAACTTTGCTGAACTATTACGTGACAATTGCGAACATTGTCCGACTATCACGACTATCACAACTGTCGCATGATCATCACTTACTTTGAGTAGTTATTGAGAACAAAGAATCTTAATCTTGTTGTGTTTGAGAAGTCAATTGACAAGATTCTGTTTGCCGGATGGAATGAAAGTACAGTATTTGTTCAATTGCGATAATAAGCATGTGTGATGATGTGATGTCATAAATTTTACTTTAATTTCACTTTACTTTACTTTAACAGTTAGATATTAGGTGTTGCTTGTCAATTTGTAACTTGTAAGTGAATTGAATTCGCCCTGTCAGCATTTGAGCACACCTTCTTTGATATAAGGGTGTCTCATCTCTCATCATAGACAAAATTCGTTCCAGATTATGCAGATTATGCTTCAATCTACTTCAGAGCACCCTGTTTGAGGTATCAGAGGAAAATCTTTTAAAGTAACTCATGCCGGTTTCTTTTTTATTGGATGTATAATTTTCTATTTTATTTGTATTTTGAAAAGGGGATAAAAAAAATGAACCCAAGTCATGACACATAAAGCTGATACATTTTACAGATAAAAAAATATGAACAATAAACCACCATAAACCAAGAATACGATTCAGGTTTGATATGCTACGAATTACACTGAGGGGAACCAGGAAAAGATCAACAGCTTAGTAGCGAGCGTGCTAAATCACTCTACACTCGAACTTAGAGATTTTTCTAAAAAGATCCCTGAAAGTGGAAACCAACTTGAATAGATATATTTTTGAACGCTGATTCCGAATCACCTCACATGACATATGACAACGATGTAACAGATGTTGCCACACCATGTAACGATGTTGCCATGGGGTGCCAAGTCCCCATACATCGTGGTCCGGTAGATTCATTGCGTCTTAATATAGGGTTAAAATGCTCCCCTGGAGAGATCGGCGAAAAACTGACTCGATCATGTGATATGACCATACAAGGAAGTTGGTATAATTTTTCGTTAAGGTCGTTAGGGTTTAAACGTATGTGATATGCTTCAGTTAGGGATTGGGCTAGGGTTAACGTTGGGGTCAGTGTAGAGGGTTAGGATTTCGAACAGTCCTTCATTACTGGGTGGCGATCGCGGATCTGGGCTCGACTTGTCAAAAAACCTGAGCTCACCAGGGCCAGGTAAAGGAAAACAAAGCACAAAAGACCATCAAGACAATGTGTTAAAACAGGCACGTGACAGTTGATCGAGTGTAAAGGAATTAATTATAATCATTGATCATCATCCGCTCAATATTATCAGTGTACATCATAGAAGCTGAAAGTCACACATCATAAAATTAAACAACTCTGACGTGCTTAAATTAATTTTGAGTGTACAGTCACTGTACAGTACAGTGACTGAACGACTATTCGAAACTTTAACCCTCTTATCTTATCCCAAACCTAACCCTAACCCAATCCCTGACAAAAGCATATGCTGAAACCCCAACCCTAACGAGAAATTCGACCAACTTCCTTGGCCTTATAATATGGTCATATCATATCACGTGATCAAGACAGTTTTTCGCCAATATCTTGCCAGAGGAGCATTTTTACCCTATTCTGAATCAGCGTCCGAAAATACATTAATTCAAGTTGGTTTCAACTGTCTAGTGCCCTTTTTAAAAATCTTGAAGATCGACTGTAAAGTGATTTAGCACGCTCGGAGCTGTAAATGGTAAACTGTAAATGATTGATATTGTGAATCAACCCAAATTCTTGACCAGCTTATATTTGTTATTTTACCTGGAACCAATCATTTATACTACATACTAACTTTGATTCACGATGTCAATCAATACTTCGCTGCTCCACGAGGCCCAGTGGTGCATTTCGCTGATCTACCGAAGATGTGGTTTCGAGAAAAATTATTTGATGCGCAGCGCGGCCCAGCAGTACATCGCGCTACAAGTTTCACAAATAAATTCCTTTGGCGCCTTCGGCGGACGCATTAGTGCCGCGCATTGATAGCTAATATTATAACTTAAGTGCAGAGCCCTCGCGCTTGCTGTACACAATACACACACGTACATTAACGGGTGATACTCGTAAAATATCTGTTCCATATATTATATTGGAGTCCAACTCGGCGCGCGTCCTGGACCCTGGTAGGTTATAAACCTACAAACACGTACATAGCGTGTGTCCATCATTGTGAAACAAGTGCGTACGTCACGCCATCACTGATCATGTAGTAAGCGTAAGCACATTGTTAAAATTACCTGTTAACTGACACGCCAGTCCCTGTGCGCGGCGCTCTTTTCAAGTTACCTGGGGACCCCATACTATAATGTTCATTAACATATAAAAATTTGGTGGAATGTCAAGCTGAGCTGCATGTGAGCGTCGCCCAGTAATTGTAGCGCGATGCCTTACTGTGCCGCGCCGCGAACTCAATGAGGCTTCTCTCTAGATCGGCGAGATGCGCTACTGTGCCGCGCCGAGCTGAGATGAATTGACATCGTCAATTATGAATTAACCCATTAAACATGAAACAATGTACTTTGCAATTTGAAAAATGTACTTTTCGTATGCTAATAATTCACTCGCCATCAATTTCTTATTGTTAACGGGTGATACTCTTAAAATATTTTGTATTTGTTCCAGCGCGCGTCCTCGTAGGTTATAAACCTACAATCATATTGCAATAGTGCAGTGCTTCTCGTTAGATCGGCGAAATGCACAATTGGTCTCGTGTATTAGGTATGGGCCACGTCGATCTGCGAAGGATTAACATCGTCAATTAAGCATTTTAACATTTACAATTTAAGCGAAAGTTATCCATTTTTCTTACTTTTTACGCACTTGCAACGCACAGGAAGCCTGCATACAAATCAACCTTATCGTGCTGCACGGTGAATTTGTATTATGCACACTTATACAATAGACATTAGAGGCAACTTTTGGTACAAAATTTATCAATATCGGAGACCAACTGGGCATATTACTTGTAGGTTTATAACCTACCAGGACGCGCGCCGAGTCGGACTCGTTTGGATCAAATATTTTAAGAGTATCACCCGTTAATATATTAAATGGACTTTCAATCAAATAAATCGTGTCTTAAAATTATACATTGTACGTCATTATATATACAGGGGAAAAAGAGCTGCACACATGTTTTATTTGGAAAAGAAAGCCCGACCACTGTCCGCAGACAACTGCCCACGGCTGGGGTAAAATTTGGCAAAAATAAGTAAATTAGTTGATTTTTGAACTACCCTTTTATACACGATATATATATATAATAAAACGTCCTCCAATGATAATAATATACATATATATATTAAGATCTTTACTTAGTATATTCAAACTTCAAGAATGCCAAATCTTTTTCCCTACTATAATTGCCGAGGGAAAAAAATATCGTAGGGAATAAGTAATCGGGTTTGGATATATGAAGTGGAAAAAGGGGGCTACGTTGACGACAAAAGTCTGCTTCTTCGCAATAGACCACTCCCCTTTAATTATTTGTTTAGGAAGCGTCAGCTATGCGTTAATTAATTACACCGAAGTTCCTCCTCATTGTACAGGGATGGTTTAACTACGGCCAAATTCTCGTTTTTATGCTCAATATTTCAACAACTTTATTAACTGGTTAAATCAACTATCTGAACCGATATTTTGTGCAGGAAAAAAGAAGAGAAGAAGCCGGAAGTAAGTAACTATAGAAAGTTGGTGGTTTCAATTTAGTAAGCCGGCTTCACTTAATCTCCAGTTTGGGCTGTGGAAAGAAATCAAGACATGTTAACCACATTCCTGACTGCCACAAACAATTTGACTATCGAGGTTATGATCTGGAAACACATGATTGAAGGAAACTGGACGAACGTTCCATCATATGGCTACCGTACTCTTTACTATAGTGTGGCAAATCCAGAGAACGATGTCATGTTTACAAGTCTTGTCGTCCAGCGTGTAAAAGAATCAGATGTAACACAGCACCGTGCAGTGATAGTCAATGATGATAAGCAGCAAACTTCCGACATGATACCAGTGACATTATCTCCAACTGATATTTTTAAATTATTCAGTTTAACTGTGAAAAAAGCCTTTTCATTTTCAAACAAAAAAGAATATGAAACACTAACGCAAAGTTACTGAGTATAAATCAGCCGACAGGTGCTGAAAATTAAATATATAATGCCTACTGGTGAGACCAGCAGGCATAATGTCGATCTGAGGGGCTAACCCTCACCAGGTCGTGATTAACTCCAACAAATCCGCGGCTCAATTCCCCAACTCCATAATTGCGCGGCTTTCATGTTACTTATATATGTAAATATACGTTTCAGCACTGTGTTACGAGGCAGTAGACCCCCCCCGCGCATTTGATTGGAGTTGATTGTCGCGCGCATTTTGTGGAGTTGGGTTACATCTTGGTGACAGTAAGTAAACACAGATCAGCAATTTAACAGCAGTAAATACAAAATATTATACGCGCCGCGCATCCGAACAAGTGATCTAGCAGCAATTTCAAATATTGTTACCACTTCCTCCGCAAGCTATTGCGTAACGCGTGAGTCAGCGTAAGGTTGGCTAGAGTTGGGTCACGTGATATTAATGTGCTATTACCGTGCTCATATGATCCAGCATATCAGTTTGTTTTATTTGAGATCTCAACTATTTTATGAAGCGGTGCACCGGATAAAAATGTACACTACACAGCTAGCTAGCGCTCACACCTTCACACCCTTTCACCAACTTATTATCGATTTTGTATTAATTTGTATATACATTCCTGAATGTATTTCCTTGAAGGGATGGAGAATCGCGAAGACGATATATTGGAGCTTTCCGATTCTGGTTAGTGAGTCCGATTATGATTTCATTGTAATCTGCTCGCTTGTTTTTTGTCCAACAAAAGAACATGTTTTACTTTATCATCTCTAGTCGTTCTTCTGTGTCGTATAAGAGGATATGTAGTAGAGACAGGTGTGCGGGGAGTAGTTGAGTCAGGTTAAGGTCAGGTCAGGTCAGGTACAGGTTCAGGCTGAGCTAGAGTAGGTGTAGGCTAATAATACAATAGGTATCAGAGAGTGAATACAGTCTTCATGTCTTGTGCAACTAGATCCGTGTATTGTGCGTTCAGTGACAAATTTAATGAGACAGTTATGTTCTAATAAATTTCTAGTAAAATACTGTGGGCGATTTTTTTACGGAGTTAAGCCCCTTAGTCTCCAGCGGCTGGTACAGGGTTCTGTAGCAATGGGAAGTCAATCTGGGAAAGCGGGTCGCAAGAGTCGTAATCGTACTGTTTGGATTGTATGCTGCTGCCGATACTGCTGTAGCTTTCCTGCCCGTACAACGAAACTAAGCCAAACAGCACAGCGCTGCGCTCTCCTCCAAGTGAGGCGATTATTCCATATACGGCGCGCACGTGACCCTCACGTGACACACCATGTATGGAATAATCGCACTTATTAACGGAGATGTCAGGTATGAGCTGGCTGCTGCATTGTAACTCGCGAGGACTAATAAAACGGCACAGTTAAACCTTTAAACAATCGATTACTGAAACAAAATCATATTACCAAAACTAAATACTAATTTACATATTGGAAAAGGGGGCATGGTTCATTAATTCTGTAAAGATTACCCGTTACAGGTCAACTCTAACTAAGCCGTGGTCAAGACTATTCTTATTTCTCGACTGCATGAAGCCGGTTTGAACCCAGATTCGACAAAATGTTGACGGGACAGGTTGTAAATATGTTAATCCTGGTGGTTCGGATAACATCCATGCTGCAGGTCCCGTCAATGTGGGGCCGCCAACGCAATAATAATGTGATCGAAACACAGTTAATCCATTTCTAGACGGTGAATATTCATCTAGGATTTATGTAACGAAGCTAAATAACGTGTGGTATAAATTGACAAACACAACCTTTCTAGCAAATTAGCCATATAATTTAACAGAGCATACTAGACCGTGTTTATAATCGAGACTGTGATATAAATTATTGTACTAGATCTCTAGATACAGCGGATTTACAGGCGTCAGACCTGTTAAATTATTACCACTATCACAACCTTAACGGTTGATGTGTTCTCAATCTTTCAACCAGAATGTATACCGGTACTCAACAGTAAGTCTACTTAACGTTTACTGTTGCAAACTAATGATTAATCGTGCCAGAAAAACGGATTCATGCAATTTTATCAGGATTACAAAGTATTTTAAAAGATAGCTTTGGCACCAAAGATGTAATCCTCAGTAAAATATATCAAAATAACCTTTCTTGTAGATCTCGACTACTGGGTATATTGCTGTTTCAAAAAATTCTTCAGGCTTGAAAATAGAACAGTTGAAATTTGAATGCCCCAACAATCTCCCGTTATTAGACTAATTCAATAGCATTCCCTAACACAACACTTCTTTGTACCCAATGTTTACGTTGCGAATTTACGCAAACACGCACAGCAACACAAAACGTTCGTAACATCGTCTGTAACAGGAGGTCTGTTCGCTCTTTTAGACAGCTTTCCTGTTGGCTTCAATCCAAGTTATCTGGCTCTACTTTCTCTGCAACATCCCTGAAATAGTAACATGATATTTTTATTGGACAATGTTTTAGACTTCTCTCCATTCTGGAGACTTCTCGTTAAATTCAGGAGACTTCTCACAGTGAATGTAATCAATATTAAGAGGCTGTAAAACTAGCGGACTGGCAACATGAGCCAGAATACATGTAAACCAATCTGTGTATTTTGGTATCGGTACACTGGATACCAGGAAACTGGGGCCATTAATAACATTTACACGGTGTACACTCGGCTGTGTAACTCAACACAGCCCAAACCAGCTGATCTGAGCAAATTAAATCAGTGTGGTGCGGGCTTCTGCTGACAAATTAACCCCTCGAACCGCAGTAATGAGGTCACGTGGTCTAGAGCACGTGGTTAGGGCTCAGAAACAATGTACTGCTCTGCTGTATAAGTTCGTGAACACTACCATAACCAGTTTGTTATGCGGGCTGCGGCCATGGAGACGAGTTAACAATAAAATCATGTTTGTTAAAAGCCGCAGGGCTCGTTCCAGGCACGTGACTGAAATGGAACCTAGCAATTGCCAAGCTCACAGTTCATTATAAATTAATTCGCAAGATTTAAGAATATTCTGCCACGCCACCGACTCAATTAGTCCATAACTTGTTAAAACAAGGACAATTGCAGGTTTTAACCATTGCTGGTATAGCTTGACTGTGTAGACTGCAGATACATTAAATTTGCGTGTGTACAGTGTATCATGCCAAGATATTTGATTTTGCGAGTGACAATACCTTACGAATTTAGGTGTATCTAATGTATTACACTAGGTACAAGAGGTTGCAGACTTTATATATATATATACATACTATATGCTATACCTAATGGCATGGGAGCCCAAGATAAGGTTCATAAAAAATTACTTGTGAAAATTTAGATATCAACATTTATGGTAGCTGCATAAAATAATAATGTCAAGACAAAACCGTTTAGCAAGTGTTAAAATTTCGTAACTTTCCAGTTTCGGATATAATCCCTTATTGCGCTTCGAACTATGACAACATAATACATAACATACCTACACACCATAAACCATTCCTGTGAAATTACTATAATGTACAATTATTAGGTGAGCTACTTTATCTAACTAAGCAAGTATGAAGTTTCACAGTTTAAGTTCAATGGTACTGGTGAGGCCGCATTAGGTGTAGCAAGGAAGGAAGATTGAAGTGACAGTCATGTCATTGGCTTCTTTGTATCCTCATAGCATATCTGGTATTTCGAGCAAGGTGTTGCATCAACTATCGGAAAAGAAAGACTTGGCGAGCGCCGAGCACCCATCAGTATGTACAGTAGACAACGCAACCAATTACTAGACTACTATTTCTCTAAAGTCACTGGGAACGTCTTGGGAGCCTTACTTTTGCTCAACTTCGCTTGAAGAAAAAGAGTAGAACTCGGTCAGTGTCTCTAACTACAGCAACTCAGCCTTCTTCTACGGTTATTTGTAGCTGGACTGCAACAATTACAAAGCCATGCTGAAAGAACGTCTGCTCTTTTGAAGAACCGCCATACATGTCACAATGTACATTGGGTGAATATTAAAATATGTGCCCGCAAGTACACGGCTCAATTCTTTACTCGTTGTTTAGCAGACTAAGTCTAGATTTCAAGGTTTCTTCAGAGAGTTTTGAGAGCCCCTCATCCCATTAGGAATTGTTGACACCTCAGATCTTTTGACTTTTGTGTAGAAACTGAAGCAAGTCTTCTTGTCCTTGGCATGTATAGTGTATACTGCATTTAACTCATTTGCCAATGACAGAATATTTGAAGGGTGGTGTTAGAAGAAGTATTTTATGAATGGTATCATGGTGCTAGACCACAAACAGTCATTAAATTCGCGTGTATAATCTAGAATATATGAAGGTGTTCCCTTCTATTTTAAAATACTGTAGTTGTTTGGCTTCAAACATCTTTAGGTACTAGCAAAATTGACATATTTTTCCAAATTTACAGAAACAATTGACACTTTTTGGTACTAGAAAGAGTTGAATGATTCAATTTACGACCCGTAATATTGATTGAAAGCAAAACATAATTTTCCACCAAATGTCTAGAAAAATCTTTTGGCAAGTTAGCAAAGTTCACATGGCCTTCTACACCAGATCTGCAACCTTCGAATAAGATAAAACCCTATAGATAATAACCACTTTATCTACTACTTTCTACAGAAACTTCTTTGGTACAGTTATCACAATTAATGAGAATGTCCATAGCTACAATATTTAATGGAGGCAAGTTGAATTAGCCACATAAAAATAAGAAGTACCTTTTTAGTTTTTATTAGAAGTTTAAAATTTCGTCACAGTTGGCCGTTAGTTTGATGTTACACTGCGTTTAATTTTTCTTAGTTCAGCATTTATTTGTCCAAGACTTGTCCATCAAAGGTACACCAACTTTTGTGACGGGTTAACATCATATGGTACTTTGTGTTTCATAATTGATCCATGTTAAATTACAAATCGAAGTGTATTCTGTAAACATACTGTTAATATGTCATTATCCATTCGATTTTCCTACAATGATGACAGATGCTATGAAAAAGTACTAAGGAGTATCCACAAATTTCGTCGTTTACTTTAAGTGCACCTGACCAGTAACCAAGTTCGGTCTCATACAAATGAAAGTGCATATAATTCAAATATAGCATATTTAAAGATAGGATGTACAAGAAAAGATAAGAAACACATGACATTTAATACAACTCAACATGCAGGTCGCTGTCAAGTGACAACTCTAAACCAATCGAATACTAGGGGTGCTGTCACGTGTTCAACAAATCACAACGGCTAGCAGACCAGTTTACACGGCCTTATGCGAAATCCAAGGAAATTTGATAATTTCCATTTACCAAGTATGTGACAGGCTTGTTATCGTGTGGTTGCTATGTTATCAGGACTCATTCGAGTAACATTTGAAACACCCTGTCAAGAAACTAAAGGCCGGTTGGGCAAGACCTTTTCTGTAACCTACTCGTTATAAATAATACTCAGCGTTACTCAGCCTCTCATTACCTTCAGAGACAATGGCGGACGCCTCCCTCTATTATTCCATATATGGCATGATCAGGAAACATAAAGCCGTACACTAAGACAGGGAGCAGATGTTGAAAATAGTGGACTGAAGTGAGGGAGAGTCGGGAGAAGTAAATTATCCTGTGCGCTGTACTAGGATAATACGTGAAGTGTATTATATTACAGCACCTCCATTTGTGAATCATGAATTATCTGACGTACGTGACTTTGTGGAAATGGCAGTAGAGTTTGGGTACCTTGCTCAATGCTAACTGCAGTCTCCTGGAATGTAAAACCCACTATTAAGTCATGTTGCATAAAAGTCGAGATTACCACTGGGATTAGGGCCGGGGTAGGTGAGAACACAAGATCCACAAGTAAGTAAAGCGAGAATATCTTGAGTTTAATTATGGTAACAGTTATCTGTCCTGTCTAACGACAGTCACTTTCAGAACTGGCCACCTCGTTTCCAGACAAGGGCCCGACCATTGTCCAAGCTCTGGTTTACAAACGAGGGGAGAAGCGGCGGCCTGAGTACCTGCTCAACCACCACCCCTTCTCTGCACCTCTCAGGTATAAAACCCAGAGCTCGTGTGAAACTTGAGAACTTTCAGTTCTTATCAACAAATCTAATTACCTCCCTAAATTACTGGGCACACTAAATTAATGAGTGTTTGGTAACAGAATGTTTGACAGGCGGTTCCTGAGGCTGCTCACTCTGATGGTGGAAACGGACGGGACGGACAAATACGACACAGTCGTCACCACATTGACTTGCCTCATCAACAAAATGGAGCGCAACGAGGTGCTCAAGTTACTGGAAGTGTGCGACGAGCCTGAGAAGATGAAACCCCTGTTTTTAGCCATACCAACCAACTCTGTCTGGAGCGATCAAATCACGGACTCCTTTGCGTTGATCTCGGCGGAGATAGCGGAGAAGTGCAGGCAGTGTCTGGACTGGTGGAACTCCAACGCTCACACATCGCCAATGTATTGGACTATGCCGACTAAGAGAGTCCCAGATCTCTCCATTGAGGAGACCATGAAGTTAGCTTGTCAAGCAGTTCGTGAACAGGCAGGATTTAGTGTTAGACCACATCCGATTATTAAACCCATTTCATTTGTTGACGATGAAAGCGGCACCAAAACCACCATCTGTCTATGTCAGGTTGGTTTCGTAATTAACTTTAAATCTCGTTGGTAAATTTGCATCATGCCTTTATGAATGAATTGAGAAAGGTCTATATTTACGTAAAAAGTTATTACAATAAATAATAATAAGCATTGCGCAATTCAGTAATGAACAGCTAAATCTTCCATGTTTTCAGATTCTAAACGAAGACAAAGACTTTGATGTTGACTCCGTGCACAGGATGTTCTTCCCTCTGGCAGGAGCACTCCAGCACATTCGAGACCCACAGCACCTTCACACTCCGTCCCACGTGAAACATTTCCACAGAGAGCTGTACAATCTAGACCAGACTATCATCGACAAGAGACAGACAGCGCGCCGCTTATCTGAGGACAGCCTCATTTGCTCCCCTTCGCCACTGTCCGACGATGGTCGCAAGCGCAGGATTTCGTCTAGCAGCGAGACAAGCGATGGTCGCAGCCCAAAAAGCCCATGCACAAAATCGCCCCTGTACAAACGGACACTGTCAATGCGGCCTCCTCCAAGCTTTAGTGGAGGAGTAAAACCTATTATTGAGATGCCAAATCTTATTAAGGACCCTAGATTGAAGAGCTCTTGATAAGCTACAAGCTGATGATTAGGTTATAGTTTTTTAAGTTTGGTATTGCATTTATTATACTAGGGCACTGATGAAGGGAAATTCTGGTCGAACTAGACTACATATTTAGGTGGCCAGTTTAAGTTAAACATAATTCTCCTTGGTGTGCTCTGATAATCGTTATAAATTTGTTAAAACGGTTGAAATTGAAGGATGTAGTCGTAAAAAGAAAGAGTGCAGATTAATTTAATAAGGCAAATCAAAGCACTTAAAACATAGTTAATGTAGAATTTTGACAAGCAGATTCTTTTTACTACTACACACTACTTCCACAAATACTATCTTATCTTATGCATTTGCTATTTTTATGGCTGAGTCTTGCTAAAATTCTAGTCCCGAGGATGAAACTACTTCCAGCTTTAACTAACTTCTGCAGTCAGATGTAGATTAAGCTTTTTTTATTAAGTAACTTATAAATGTTTGTGAATGTACGGTTGTTTCCCAGTATGTTTCTGTAAGCGGAAAAATGTTACCTTGACAAACATGTAACCGAGGTAAGGTTGGACCAATTTACCAAAATGCTTAGTACATAATATAAATAATTGCGATTATAGATAGAAATTTATGGAACGAAACGCGACGAAAGATGTCAACAAGTTGAGGCGTGACTAATAATAGATTCCTTAACAGTTTGTTGGGAAAAATTTACAATTACTGTAAAAAGGTAAAATAGCTTTGAAGATTGGTTCAAACTCCATAGTTGTGGAAAACTGATAAATCTCGGTTATATTTTCATAAGAGGTTAATTTAAATTCTATCTTAATTACTCGGCATAAAAATGACAAAAAACGAGCTGGAAAAGATAAAAGGTGTACAGTGTAAAAGCTTGAAAATGGTAGCAGCCAGTTACCATTTCAACTCGTACAGTGATTGTCACCTTTTCAAGCTTTTATACAGCCACAAAAATATTTATCGAGATTTGAGCGTTGTATTTTGATAGATTTTATTGATTAAACTAGATATTTGGATTACTGTTGAATCTACATGCAAAGTAATGTTAAAGTGTTTGAGGCAACATCATTATCAGGTAAAAAAATTGATCCGGATCGGGCCATGGACCTCTGTTATATTCAATATTCATGTTGTGAGAAAACCATCTTTATTTTTAACTGTTTGGGTTTAATCATGTTCAGAAAAATCGCTTTTGGTTGTTTTATCGTGAATTAAGGTTTATTGTTATTACTTTCAAGTTACTAACCATCACATTTTCTAAGATGAGAGCGTTTTATTTGTTCAAGTATAGAGCTTGCACGTCTAAAGATAATATGCACGGATGTAGTCTATTATAATTACGAACAAGATTCAAAACTGGGGTTTAAACCGGGGGCCCTGAACTTGTCTGACTGTATCGCTTATGTCAAAGGATACCAATTTCCATCTGCACATACGCAAATTCCAATTATCAAATGTTGGTGCCTCTTAACAAGCCATTAGAAATGTGTTGAATTTATTATAATTAGTTTGCCAGCTAAAGACTCTTAAGATACAATGGTGATACATATCTACACTGAATAGATCATCAATAACATTTAATCAATGTTAAAGTGTTGTACATTCTAGTGGTTTTTGTAACAAGACTACAACTATGAAATCACTCTTTTTTGTATTTGAAATGAGCTCTAAAGACTAAAATTGATACGTTTGAGATTTGGGTAAAATTCCCAAAATTAAATGTTCGTAGGTGTTAAGTTAATTAATTAAGTTAATTAAAACAGGTCTTCTATTCACTAAATCGCGACGAAGAAACATAATTCATGCACATAAATAGGAGATGCAACGACTAGATTTGAGTATGATTCAATCTCCTTTCTTTTAAGCCATCCCCAGACGCTCCAAACCATTTCGCGACATTTAACTTATTAGCGTTAATTTTTGTAGTCAAAATAAGTCGTCGCATCCCCAATAGTTTAATGGACATAAATAAACACATGTAGGACTTACCACTTTTTCCTAAGAGTGAAGAAAGCGGACATCTCGAGGGTTCAGAATTCACCAACTCTGGAATCACCCGTGCTTTCTGAAAATCGATATAATAATGAAAAACCACAAAATTCAAACGGAGCTGAGTCAAGTCAGAATGATGTACAAATTAAAGAGAAGTGTAAAATCAGGAAAAGAATCATTATCATGTGCGTTTTTAAACAAACTTTTTTTAGGAAAATAGACAAGAACTTTCATGGAGAAATTTACAAACCTCATTTATGTGAAATGTACAAGCAGTGAACAATCTGATGTCGTTCGCAAAGGAACGAGCTGCAAATTATCTTCCATACAGACTATCAGCCGGCTACAACTGCTCAACAACTATGATCTGAAATTGATAACATGAAAAACAAACTGACGGCGGAATAGCTCAATTATCACATCAAGTTAACTCTTGATCAAAACTGGACAGTGTGACTGAAGTTGTATTATGGTCTAATAGATGTGGATTCTGGGAGAGGCATATGTTTTAAACATCTCTATCCAAATAATTGCTAATTTTATGAGGTGGGTTATAGAAGTTTTGTACGAGAATCGATACAAATTTTAGAAACGTTTGTGTAAATTGAAGGTGGAAATTTGATGCCGAAAATTTCAAGAAAACGAATAAAAATATAATTTTGTGTCCAATTTTGTCTATATTTGCCCAGACAGTGCCCTATTTTCTGAAGAAAAAAAATCTCGTTATACAAGCAGTGCAGAAAAAGTCAACTATTGCGACAAAAAATTCTGAAATAAATTAAACCTTACATCATATCAAAGATCAGAAATCAAGAGGAAGTTGATTGAGTGGTATCGGTACCACGTGTAGATAAATAAACCAATAAATAATTGAACAAATTAATTAATTGCAATTTTGGTTCTTGATATCAAAAAGGAGATGTTCAGTGTATATTACAGCAGACACCACAGTTTAATCGACCTGTGGAACACTCGCTATGTAGTTGCAACATACATCAACTTCATAAGTAGTGTGAAATAAATATGTCTCTAACTTACCACGGACGTTTTTCCGTGTAACATCCAAATAAACTTCAACCATATGGTCTCTGAGTGATAATCATGTCAAGCTCCATTGACACACACATCCACAGACATCCAAAATAACACCAAACCAATGTAAAAGTGATAGGCCCTGCAGCCGACTTATCGCACAAATTCAGCGAACAGCGACGAACGCTAAAACTGATGTTCACTGTATTACCAAAATAGAGTGGGACATATCTGCATGATGTGCTAAAAAACTAGCATCACGCAAATCTGTACCTGTATAGAATTCACAAATAACGTATGCGCGCGCACAACATTTCTGTCATGTTGCGCGCGTAAATCTTAAATAAATTATGCAATCACAAATCAGGATTTGTGATAGTCATGTACACATTAAATCGACGTATCAAGTTTGTACATGAAATTACCAATTACCAAGTACCAAAACATAATAGGTAGTAAGTGTCAAGTGGTGCAAAATTCTACAAAAATGCGAACAAATCTTCACCTTAAAATGGCCCACAGGGCACAGGAACAGAACACTAGGACATGATGCAAAGCAAATGGCAGAAGTCTTTTGAGACTAATTTGATGAAATTGATGCTGACTCAACAACATCTGATGGGAATAACCCAGCAATGATATTTAAAGCCTGAAAGCAACCGCTTTCAGAAGCTCTGATGATCATTTGGGACATCTCCTTCAGAAATGGTCAAGTTCCTTCAGTCAGCAGTCTATACGGAACAGTATTTCACACATGTGTTTAATAAAGGAAACAAAACAGTCCCGGAAAATTAAAGACCTGTCTTATTAACTTCCCATATGATCAAAACGCCAAATCACGTTTAAATGTGGGACAATTATGAAAAAATTACCTGAGGTACAAGCAAAACTGCGCGTTTTGCTCTAGAAACACACTTTTTTAGAGATTTTACCGGCGTATAATTTAACGGGTGATACTCGTAAAATATTTGTTCCAAATATTAAAGGACCGTCGACGAGTCCAACTCGGCGCGCGTCCTGGTAGGTTGTAAACCTACAACGTATAATCTAAAATCACCTTATTTTTCCAATTTTACGTTTCTACTAACATTTAAGAGGGGAGGGGCGCCAACAGGCAACGTTACGCCACTGCTTGGGTTCTTTGTTCTTGGAGAGTTCAAAGACGTGACAAAACCTGTGATGCAACGAATCTTGGAATAGACTCACAACTCTGAACTCAGGGAACTGAAACTCAAATCCCTGCAAAGACGCCGAGAACGCTATACTAACTGCTAACATACATATTCTGTGGAAAGTTCTCCAGGGTATATCTTCAAATGATCTAGATATACAGTTCAGTGAGAATGCCAGACTTTATGCACACTCTACCTACGACAACTCATTCGCAGTGAGATCTGGAAAACTATGGAATGTTCTCCCCAAAAGTATCAATAGATTAAACCCCGACATAGCATTGTGTGAAGTGAGCTATGTGCCCATCCTTGGAGAACCCGGCGAATGTCCTTGCTGTACGGCAGTGTTAAACAAGGAACTGAAACCGACGGGTTCCGTTCAGGCCCTTCACACTTTGCTTTTGTCTAGTTCTAATGTACCGTCACAATAGTGACTTTAATATACTGCGCAACGCGATTTACCGCGGCAATTTTCTCTCCCCCAAATAGGGCTTAACATGCATAATATAAACAAACAAAATCCCAATTAACCACGGACAGCATGTTACAACTCACAATATATGAATTGTGCTAAGCTTGTTAAGATTGCTGAACACAAACCAACTTTATTTTAACTATGTGACTGTGATACGAGAGAGAAAATGAAAAGTAGCATTGTTCAATTCCGATATTTGGATACAGAAACCAAGCAGTTACACACCTGCTAATTTTGAGCAATACTTTAAAATATGCTGAGATATATTGGAAACAAGATGAAGCGAGAGCAGAGTTCGGTTTTCGGAGAGAATCACAGCGAAAATTTTGCTACACGTTGTATACTTCTCGTGCACGCGCGATCAAAAGGGGTTGCAGCGTGTGTCAACGAAAATTCTAAATGTATACCTAGATCGAAATAACCGTAGATCGAAATAAACTTCCACGCCATGCACAGTGTTATACACGGTGGAAAATTTGTAGATTCTATTCGTGCATAAAATAATAATCGACGATAAATTGGTAAACGCGCGTTTACTGTTATACTGACGATATTCGTCGCGCGCGCGATAATCGACGATAATCGTTTATATCAAATGATAATCGCAAATATGACAATTACCGCGCAATCAGACAACGATAACACGATAATTGGACGATAAAATTTGTTAAAACAATTTACACGTTTTCTAATTGATACCAATATTTCAAAGTTTTTATAACGTGATTTTATTGTTTTATAATGTAGTGCCGCGCATTTACGTTGGAGTTTTGATATCTTCAAATCTAACTTAGAATCGAGCGCTATTGAATTTCAGTGCCTGGTAACGCCGCGCCTATAATGCACGCTATAATGCAGCTCTAGACTCCCAATGCCGCCATTATTTCAATTTAGCATTTTGTAACGTTGTTCCTGCTGTGACGTCATTTATATTTTGCTATCTACAACATGCAACTACAAGCAGGCTGCATGCATGTTTCATAGATACAAATGCTGTCCTCCCCCGGTCTCGAGTGATGTCTAATGCTTCGAGGTATTAAATTAAATTGAATAGTATTTAACAAAGGACTCAGTTGTGTTTAGTTTAATCTAAGTTTCAAAAACTTCTATTTGATTGTCATCGTGTCATGCTTAATATTGTATGCTATACAATACGTAACTTATTAGTAATGCAATGACTGTACTATTTTTCAGCATCTCTGATTATGGACCAGAGAGCATAATTGATGCAAGAGTGCGTCTAGAACGGGAGAGAAGGCAGCGCTCACTGGTAAAGAAAGTCACAGCCGGTGAGCTGTTCAAGTCACTGAGACGATGATTTGTTTGTCATGTTGCCCACAATAATCTTGTATGAGGCCATGTTTGTTTCTTGAGCCCACAATAAAATTGTATGAGGCTCCATCGTGAGCCCACACTAATCTTGTATGAGGCCATGTTTGTTTCATGAGCCCACACTGAAATTGTATGAGGCTCCATTGTGAGCCCACACTAATCTTGTATGAGGCTGTTTGCGGGATTAACTGTAACCCGGCAGCTAGAAGAACAAAACTCTTAAATGTCCCTGCCACTGCTACCTCGCTCTCATAAAGGAAGGCTGCAAAACAACCCCTGTCGGCGACTCAGAACCTGATATCAGAAGTCCTTGCTGATGCTTCAACAGAAGTAAACCAGACGCTACCTTATATGGAATCCCTAGGAAAAGTCGTCCAACGAGCCAGAGCTTCTGCCTCCGGATCTGCCCAACATACCGAGTCGAAGACTTCTCTTGAATTCGTTCTTCCTCTCAGCTGCACATCTACAAGAAGAGACGAACAATTTATCCTCTTTGATGGGAAGACTGACCGAGATTTGAGAGAGCCTTCGCCACCAACAGGGACCTTCAGACCCTCGCAGAACACAACAATTGGATTGTTTTGTTTAAAAAATTCATTATTATCTGAAGAATTCTAAAGTAATATTTCAAACTGTAACATATTTGAAAAAATTATGTATTCTGCAGACTATAAAGGTTGGAACGTACATATGGAAAGCTTATACCACGCTCTGTGAAGATCTGGACTTTGTTTATGCCTGTAATGTTGCTGATGGGACCATGCCCAACACTTACAGCAGTACAACAGACTTTGGTTCCATGATTCACCAAATTGAGAAAGGAGAAGTGATTACTAAACGATCAAACAGTGGACCACATTGCTCGAAGTATGATCAGTTCATGAGGAGCATTAAAGTGATTCCTGAAGCCTATCATGGGGTATCACTTACTGGTGTACGCTCAGGATATTTCGTTAAAGCTAACCATGGACCATTCTGGCAGGATAACTTCTATAATAGCAGGTAATTAAATAGCATCATTCACAAACTCACATCACGAAGTATAATTATACCGATCACTAGGTTTAATTTTGCCAATCTCAAACATTCACTATTATTCAGTCTGATAAATCCGCTAGACAAGCAGAAATTCCAACCTCGCTTGTTGGCCCTCGACAGAATGAGGTTGGCATTCAAAGATGTGCTTCTCTCTGGAGGGAAAAATGCTAAGGTCGATAATGTCAGTCAAATCGAATCCTTAAAGAATGCAAGGGACAGATTTTTGGTAGAATACCGGCAATTAGCCAAGACAACCTCTGTCAAGGTATGCTTAACATCACAGTTTTGTCAATTGTTATTTTCCGTATCTAATCTATGACTTAATTTCAATTCATAATAATTGGAACATTCATCATATTAATAACTTGGTTTTGTTAGGTCCACATTTTGGAGGACCACTTTGTTGAACAGATACAGTTGTGGGGTATGTTCAGTGGATCTTGGAACGAGCAGGGTGGGGAGAGTACACACGCTCTCTTCAACAGGCACCAACATATGACAAATCACTACCGAAACGACGAGGAAAGAGTGGTGAAAATTTGTGAACTTACTACACGAAAGTATCTCCTCAAGGTTAAATCAAAGCAAGATGATACCTAATCTTGTATGAGGCTTAGTTATGAGCCCATCTATATCTTGTATGAGGCTTAGTCATGAGCCCATCTATATCTTGTATGAGGCTTAGTCATGAGCCCATCTATATCTTGTATGAGGCTTAGTCATGAGCCCATCTATATCTTGTATGAGGCTTAGTCATGAGCCCATCTATATCTTGTATGAGGCTTAGTCATGAGCCCATCTATATCTTGTATGAGGCTTAGTCATGAGCCCATCTATATCTTGTATGAGGCTTAGTCATGAGCCCATCTGTATCTTGTATGAGGCTTAGTTATGAGCCCATCTATATCTTGTATGAGGCTTAGTCATGAGCCCATCTATATCTTGTATGAGGCTTAGTCATGAGCCCATCTATATCTTGTATGAGGCTTAGTCATGAGCCCATCTATATCTTGTATGAGGCTTAGTCATGAGCCCATCTATATCTTGTATGAGGCTTAGTCATGAGCCCATCTATATCTTGTATGAGGCTTAGTCATGAGCCCATCTATATCTTGTATGAGGCTTAATCATGAGCCCATCTATATCTTGTATGAGGCTTAGTCATGAGCCCATCTATATCTTGTATGAGGCTTAGTCAT